ATTATAAAGCCCGCACGGCTGAAAGAGCGAGCATGTTTGGTGTGACGAGGATTCAAACCCGCGACACTCAGATTGCGAGTCGAGCGCCCTAACCACCTGGCCATGCCAGGCCTGTTCAACAGGCTGTGAAAGCCGCAACTTTTTTGACTAATCGAACACTCGCAACGGGTTTTTAAAAGTAAGAGCATTGGCAACTGTTCAATTCACTTTTTTTTCTTCCAAGACTAATGATTTGACAAAAACGAGGACACTTAATTTGCTATGGGATAAATTTAGATATTCACCCATTCACGATATACCTCTGGAGATGAAAATGTTTTATGTGCGTGGTAGTAGATGCTTCAAGTTAACCTGTGCTTTTTCAGTAAAAACAGTTTCAAAGGGTGTACGTGTACTGAAACAAGCTCATTCAAAAAAATATCCAGATTTCAGGCATTGCTTTTCATGATTTTTGTAAACACACAAATACAGATAGATGAACAGCAATAAAGTGCACGGCCATGTAGAAATGTCACGAGCTTCATAAACATTTAGATGATTAATATATGTTGTTTTATTTTATACGAAAATAACTGCTCTATATAGTGATTATCCTAAAAAGTGACGTTAGTGTGTTTGGAATTCCGAAGATGTTGTCGTGGTTGAACGATGACTACTATATTAAAAACTTGATAGGAAATCCTTTATATATATATAAGTGACACGACTAACTCACTAACATATGTAAATTAGGTTTACGTCAAATAATATGCACGGTAAAGGATTTCGTGAACAAATATTGGAGTCTAACTTAATAGTGTAATACTATTCTCCCTTGTAGTTAAGAAAAGTAGCAGTTGTAAATGAAAATATTAGCTCCAGAGTGCGGTATATAAGGCTGCAATATTTCAGCACAAGCTTGACAGGATTTTATTATTTTCTGTCTGTACTTTATCTGAGTACAATCATTTTTCAACTGGGGAGTTTCCCCCTTGGGCATGCAAAACGATTCTTTAAATCAAGTAGTTCTCAGATTGGGCAAGTAAAACCATTTTTTAATTGGGAAGTCCCCCCCCCCCCCTGAGCATGCAAGGATTTATCGATTCAATGGTCAAGAAGGGCTCAAAGTTTTAGTTTTAAGTGAAGTCACCATCGGTTGCAAGTTTTAAGCTTGTGGCACGAAGGTGAGAAAGGTATTGTTCATTTGCGGCATTATGGGATATGTTTTGAAATGATCCCTTGCATTTATAAGCGTTAGTCCGTCACATAGGTAAGCGTCAACTAATTGAGAATGGGGGTCGTTGAATAAGTTCTTTAATTGTTTAATAAACTCAGTTAGCTTTAACCGGTTTGGCAATAAAATTGACTAATCTAAAAAAATGGGTAATAAATACTAATGAAATCGTGATTTATCGACAAAATTATCATGAATGGCTCAAAGTTTTAGCTTCAAACGACGTCATGATAGACTGACTGAAAGTTTAAACAGTTCGACCTATGCTGCATAATTTACTAATTATAAAAGCTAAGCGACTTTTTAACATTATATGTTGGTTTGTGATATACGCTGTTAATAAATTATTGTAATTTCAAATAGATTAGAGTATGTGGTCAAGAGCATTGTCCCCAGGCTGCATAAAAAAATCTAGTTACCAACTGCTGTATATTTCAGTTTATCCTGAAATAGCAAATAAAAGGAAATGACTATACTGGGTAAAAGCCTGAGTGGACTGTTCCTTTTTGTGTATTCATGCCACAACCTCTTGTAGATAAGAAACCGTTAGAAAATTAATGAAGATAAGGAACTCTAAATATGGCCAAAATTCCTATTTTTAATGTTAAAGGTATCATTACGTTTGTTCTTTTACAATAAAGCTATTAAGACGATCTGCTGCCATCCCTAATTTTGAAGTACTGACCACAGGGAAGACACCCATTCGACTGCATCCACCAACAACCTTTGGGCTATTCTTTACTAACGAATGGTGGAATTAACCGTCACATAATAGAGTCTTCACGGCTGAAAGGGAGAGTATTTTCAGTGACGAGTTTCGATCCCGTGACTCGCATATTGCGAGTCGAGCGTCCTAACCATAAGATCATGTCAGTCCCGGTATTATTAGGATGCGCAAAAAAGCTGACTTATTTACTAATGGGCACAAAACAATATGGATATGGAAATACTACTTTACCTATGTATTATGATGCACTTGAACAGCAAGTCCGTTGTAAGGCCTCAGAAAACGTTTAGTAGTTCGGCAAATAAGGGGAGAGGAGAGAAGCAATAGGCATGTTTTAGAAATAGTGGTGTCGTTTAAGAAGAAAGGTAAATTGCCTATTGAAACTTGATAGTACAGCGCACAGCTACACAAGGACTATTTGCGCATATCTCTCTCTTACTTTGAAACGGTAGACTAGAGGGAAGGCAGTAAATCAACAATACCCACCACAAACTCTTGTTTAATTGAATAGTGGAATTTGACCGTTATCCTTAGAGCGCAACCTCGGATCTAAAGCGGGAAACGCTTTTTGGCAGAAACGGGTCACGAACTATGAATATTTGCATTCATTGTCCGACGGGTATGAGGATTAATAATTTACGAATTTCAGAGTGAATATCTACACTAGTTGAAACTTGTTGAAGAAATCCCGCAATAAAAGAATACTTTAGTGATTACTCTTAAATTATATGGTTTGGTTTCAGTTTCGCGCAAAGCTACACGAGGGCTATCTGCGCTACTCTTTTTACCAACGAATAGTGGGATTGACCGTCACTTTATAACGCTCCTACAGCTGAAGAGCGAGCCTGTTCTGTGTGACGGTGATTTGAATAGATTGATATGATTTGTCGAAGCATGTGAAAGTAACTGTTAAGGGGTTTGTAAAACGTTTGGCAGTAGACAAAATCTTCGACGGGTGAAAAAACAAAACAGTTCGGTGTACCAGTAGGATGCCCCCCAGTGGCACAGCGGTATGTCTGCGGACTTACAACGCTAGAAACCGGGTTTCGATACCCGTGGTGGGCAGAGCACAGATAGCCCTTGTGTAGCTTTGTGCATAATTAAAAAAACAAAAAACAAAAACCAGTAGGATGGGCATTTAACTCGCTATTGAGTAGTTTGTGTTGTTTGTTATCAGCTTTTCCCAGATTTCTTGTAGACCAAACAATTTATCTTTTAATTACTAAGTAAACATCTTTTAAAGATATAATAAATATTATCTGAAATTTCAAACGATCTTTTTTTTCTCCAACGTAGAATCGAGAGATTACAAAATTATGAGAAAAGTTCGTTTTTATTGTATCCTTTAGTATCAACCTATATTTTCTGCTTATTTTTATCAGAAGTTTTTACTTTGTTTCAGAACTAATATACATGGTATGTTATTTTTTCTTTAATAGAATATAGCAATTTTAATTTTAATGTTCGAGCATTTTTTTAGATGTTCGTTTTAAGGTGCAAGAGCTTCATTTTAAGTTGAAAGACATGTTTAATTCTTCCAGATGTGGCATGACATCGAGAGTGTGTTACTTGTTGATCCTCAGCCAGTGGACCACAACTTCAAGATGATGCAAGTGGGCCCTAGTGAAATTACGTCACATTTCCCTGCCAGAGTTGAATTGCCTCTAATCCAAAGAGACCATGTACAGCAGCAGTCAGAAGTCAGTACGAATGCACTAATACCGCAGTTACAGCTCCAACAGCAACAACAAAATTCCCAAAGTAACATCGAAGATTTTATGATAGATCTGGACTTTGTGCTTAATCCTGATTCAACAAGTCTTTACACTGAAGAAAGTAATTTGTGCGCATCGACAGAAATTTCGCGTAAACAAGCTCGTCCACAATTTTATCGTCCTTCCGTCGAACCTTTTAACAGCAGTTGTGAAACTCTCCGCTCTCAGTTAGGTCATCTGCATCCTCAAACCGTGTCGTCAAATGGCACGAGCTCAGCTTATCAACCAGGAGGTTGTTCATCTACAACGACATCTTATGGAGGTGGTCTCCCCTGGATCCAGCACAGTAGCAGTGGCAGTGGCACAGCTTTATTGACAAGCCAGATGTCACCACCAGCCTCACCAGAAAGAACGGCTCTTCAGCTTCAACAAAACGTGACAGTTGCAACTGTAGATGCTTTTAATACAGCTTCTCATCCGGTTTCTTCGACAGTGACGCAACCACAGCATTCTGTTTTACACCAAATTGGTCGACTTATAGCTCCAACACTTTATCATCCTTCACAGCAAGTACAGCAGCAACAACAACTTCAGCAGCATCTTAGGATGATGACTCCACCATCGTCTCCTAACCTTATTGACCTTTTAAACACGACCAACTCTTCTAGAAATGAACATGCGTCGACATCAAACGTGGTCCTCATGCCTGATAATAATAATAAGAAAGGACGTCGCAACTTGGGGCGAAAAAAGGTCACGACGCACTCCTGTTCACATCCGGGTTGCAGTAAGACGTATACAAAGAGTTCGCACTTGAAAGCTCATCTCCGGACTCATACCGGTGAGAAACCCTACCAGTGCACGTGGAAGGGGTGTGGTTGGAAGTTTGCCCGATCGGACGAACTGACCAGACACTACCGGAAACACACTGGTGACAGACCTTTCCAATGTCGTCTATGTGAACGTGCTTTTTCTAGGTCGGACCACCTGTCACTTCACATGAAGAGACATACAGCAGTATAAAAAAAAAGAAAACGTTTAACAGTATTTGTCAGATCAAAAGAAGCCGGTTGTTCCTGACTAACTATCCATGACATCTTCAGTTCCTCGTGGAGATCCGTTAACTTTGTTGGTTCAATCTTATTTTGAACGTCTATTCATAACCTGCCAAAATTAAGTAAAACATTTATGGAGAGTGGGACCAAATTTACTATATTGGCTTCGTATCACATCGAGTGATATGTGCAACGGATGTCACAAAAAATCGTTGCTTTATAGATTCAATGTGAAATATTTCTATAGAAATTAAATGTTTTAGAAATATATATATATATATATAATTGTGTTTAATGTAAGCAATAAATCTCATAGGTAAGTAAATTAAATAATTCCATCAATTGATCGTTGAAATGTAAACAGTTGTCTTTTGAATTTTAAGAGGCACTTAAGTAAATATTGATTTGCCAATATGAAAGAAAAGGGAAATTGATATGAAAACAGATAAATATAAATGTTTATTCAGGCTGCATGAGGGAGTTAAGAATTGCATCACATGACAAAAAAATTGTACGATGTTTATCTTGTTAGTGACTAGCGAAAAGGAGATTAATAGCTCGTGTATTTTTCAGGATTCTATAAATATGTTACTGTGTTTAATGCAAGTTAGTTTGTCTCAATAATATGTATAGATATAGAAATTAAAACAAAGATTAACATATTGGAAAATATTGTTTTGCTCAGCAAGACCCATATATTGCACGATACTGTGATATCTCCAGTTGTTTTTTGTTTTCTTCATGTTTCTTCTTAGGTTTAGAAAGACGTGTTTATATATAAGTGAAATATATGACGTGTCGGTACATGTGATGTAAATCTTGCTAGACACTCTAGGCAAATTATAGTTTTCTCTGAAACTAAAAAAGGAAACTACTTAGTACGGAAGCACCAACATACGACTAGTATTAATAAATTCTGCTAGACATTCTCGACAAATTCCAGTTTTGTTTGAAACTAACAAACTACTTAGTACGGAAGCACCAACACATGGCTAGTATT